AGAATGGACCGCGACGACGATGCAGCATTCGAACGGTGGAGAGCCTTCTCCACGCCGTCAAGCTTTTCCAACACACGCTCCATCTCGGACGGTACGGGACGCGCCGCACCACCACGTCCATATCCGCCTCGACGCCCACGACGACCTCGACCGCTTGCGTTCGAGCGCGCGGGCGACTGGGGGCGGGATGAGGCATGCTGACGGCGGCGTTCAGGGGATCGGCCCTTGCGACGAGGAGAGTCGAGCCGTTGGCGCTTTGCCGGACGAGGCGAACGAGGAGGCGAACGCGGGCGGGTGGTATGGTGAGCTGGCGATCGGTGGCGAGAGGGAGGACGAGCGGGCGAACGATGACGGCGGGATCGGTGGTCACGAGACTGGCTACGAGACACGACGCGACGAGGAGATCGCGGCGAACGATGCAGGCGCGGAGATCGTGACGATCGCGGCTCAAGGTGACGACCGCCACGGCGGCTCCCCTGCCTGTCGTCACGCGCCTCAGACGAACGACGGCGAGGCGATCGTGCCCGGGGCGCCGCAGCCTCTACGCCGGAGCGCACGACGGACGCCTGGCGGGCAGGCTCCTTCTGCGGCATGGAATTTCCGCCACGTGGAGTCAGATCGCGCCGCAGATCCTCGAAGCGACGGCGTATCTGATCAGCAGATGCCAGCGGAGCAACGGGCACGCTCGCAGCGGGACGCGCGGGGGGGAGCAGACGGGGAGCAGAACCGCTCTCCGCGATGCGCTCCCGACCATGGCCGCCATCAGCAGACATTGGAGCGCGGGGAGGATGTCGCTCGCTCAGCAGGCGGTCGACGTGGCGGACGGGGAGCAGCGGGACGCGGACGACGGGCTAGCGGAGGAGGACCTGAGAATGTGTATCAACAATCGGGACGGAGGGCTTTAAACGAGCTGGAAGATGATAATGAGGAGACATCATCAGGCAGCAGCTTTGTACCTGCGGAATCCACAGACTCGACTTCTAGCTCTGAGTCTGTGGATGAACCCCAAACCCAGACTCCTGCTAGAGCAACCAGAGCAGCCCCAACTCACAGGGCGGGAGGATCCTCAGTTGCGAGATCCACACGGAGGGGACCCCCAACACCAACCCGAGCCGCATCGGGCAACATTGCAAACCCCCCACCCCCACCACCAATTTCCCACACTCCAACCCATTCCCGAGCCGCCCCACAATCTGCACCTGGCGGTAACCCCATCCCAACCCACGCGCGAGAGGAAAAATCCCCAGAAACACTCGCCAAGGACGACGTGCTATTCGCTGGGGTTGGAAGATGGGACCTGACGAAATTGCGCGACAGTCGCCACGCACCACTCTCCCGCCACCTCCCACCCGACCCTCGCAAACTTTTCGCCACCGCCCTGCTGGTACCTCTGCTGCGGTTGGCGAACGATCCAGACTCACACTCTGCTTGGGTCGTCCTCTTGTTCCTCGCACGACTCACACTCCGCCAGCTGTCACCCAGGCGTCCAGATTGGAAGGCAGTCAGCGCACGACTTAGCAAATTCATGTGTGGGGACTGGGATGAGCTGTACAAGGACACCGAGGACTCACTGACCCGTCCCCAGCCACCCAGACACCAGCCGGATGACATTGGGGTCATCGCGAGAGCTGAGGGGCTAGCTCGACGTGGCAGCCTGCGACGGGCCGTCATGGCCTTAGAGGCCACGCCAGTTTGCACGCCATCGCCGGCTGTGCTGGAGGCACTACGCGCCAAGCACCCACCTGCGCCCGCCTCCCCACCTGACTGGATATTTCCCACACCAGACCCTCACCTCTCGGCGCCTTACGAGGTCTTCTCCAAGGTTTTGGGTCGGTGTGAGATGGGAGTAGGAGCTGGGCCATCAGGAACAACATTCGAACACCTGCGGGACGCATCTCTGATCAACGCTTCAGTGGGGAAGCACCTGCATGCGCTAGTCAACACCATACTCACTGGAAAATTACCTCTCGCAATAGCCGAACTCCTCACCGCCTCTCGCCTGATTGCCCTTACCAAACCAGGAGGGGGGACGAGGCCGATAGCCATCGGCGAAAGCATCACTCGCCTCGCTGCCAAAACAGCTCTTACCTTGACGGCGGGCGCCGCTCGAGATTTCTTCTTACCTCATCAATTCGGTGTAGCGGTTCCAGGGGGAGCAGAGGCGATCATCCACATCACGCGAACCTTTCTTACCGTCAACCCTGGAGCGCTCGTTCTGCAGGCCGACCTGGCGAACGCTTTCAATAGTGTTAACCGAGGGGCCATCGCGGAGTCGCTTCGAGGTTCGACGCTAGCTCCGCTACTGCCACTCGTGAAACTGTCATATGGCCACCCCTCTTCCCTATGCCTGGATGCCGGATTCTCGCACCCACCACTCTTGAGCGAAACCGGGGTGAGGCAGGGAGATCCCCTCGGCCCCTTGCTGTTTGCTGCCGCCATTCACCCCGCGTTGACAAGCACGGCACTTACCTTCCCGTCCGTGGTATGCCTGGCATACGCGGACGACGTCACTTTTCTTGGAGAAGCAGCGGCTTGTGCGGCGGCGTTTGGGCACTTCACAGGAAGCCTTGGGGAGATTGGGCTACAACACAACCCCGCTAAGTGTGCGGCATGGTCACAGGCAGGCCGTCAGTCAACACCCCTGCCGCAGGGCGTACCTTTCATTGATGACGGCGTGAAGGTGCTGGGCAGCTTCGTCGGCGGAAACGACGCAACTGCAGCGTTCCTACGCGACAGCCTTAACACAATGGGAGCCCCACTTCGCCTAATTGCGAGAATGGAGCCACAGCTGGCGTCTCTCCTGCTTACCAGATGCATCTCGCGGCGAGTCTCCTATGTCGCGCGCACCACTCCGCTCTCTCCCTTGCCAGTGGAGGAATGGTCGGACTGGGGCAAGGGATTGTTTGACACACTGTTGACGGCTTGCGGCATTCGACACCCACGGGGGGAGGCTGAGATAGCACGGACCTGGGCCCAAGCCTCACTCCCGATCTCACTTGGAGGCTTGGGTCTGACGGACCCGTCGGAGGAGGGTCGCGTAGGGTTCTTGGCGAGCTACACGCAGGCGCAGCATTTGCTCACCTCCATTGACGAGGCGGCGGTCGGCGCCTTGGCAGAAACACGGATCCAGATGGCGGGACCCTACCTCAACACGTCCCCGCTGTTTGACTGGTTGGAAAGGTGCGAGGAGATGTTGCCGGAGGACGGGAAGGAGCTGCTGCAGAGCGACCGCGCCGAACCCAAAGGCATCAAGCTGCAGCACGGGCTGGCAATCGCGGTCCACGGACGCCGCTACGCCGAGCAGGTCCAAACCACGCGCGACATGCCGCTCAACCCCCTTAGCGGGCACACGCAACGTATGCTCTCCCTCTCGGGGTATGGGGCAGGGGACTGGCTCAACGCGGTCCCCTTTAACAAGTCGCTGCGCCTGGCTCCAGATCACTTCGCCCACGCACTGCAGTTCCGAATGGGGCTTCCCTCCTCTGCACCTGGGGCTTGTGACTGCCGCAACAACACGGCAATCACAGACCGGCGGCTGCCCAACCACCTTCTGCGCTGTGACACAGGGAAGGGGAGGACCAACACCCATAATGAGCTGCGGGATGAGTGCCTCCGGATGGCCAACGACGCGGACTTCATGACTCATGGAGAGACAACCGCATTCTGCCCCGTCACTAGGAAGAAGGCGGACATAGCAATCAGGGACAAGTCCTCGGGGGCGGTTTGGATTGGGGACGTGACAATCACGGACCCCATCAGCACCCGTGACCCCAACGCAGTCAAGGGCAGGGGGTGGGCAGCCCGTGAAGCGGCGGAGAAGAAGATCTCCGACTACGAAGGCTCAACGGCTTCGTGGGTCGGATTCTTCCCACTCGCCGTTGACACCTACGGCTGCCCTTGCGAGGAAGTGCCCCAATTCTTCAAGCTGTTAGCCGAGACCGCCGCCCGCAGGCTCTTCAACGCGGCCCCCTCATCCTACCAGGCTACGAAGCTGCTGCACCAGTTCCGCCAGAGGTGGTCTGTGGCGCTGCAGCGTGCTCAGTCGGTGAGCTTTATGGAGAAATGCAACTACGCGGCACAGGTGGAGAACCCACCTGCGGAGATGCCAGGCGAGGGCATGTCCCTTGGGGACTGCCTGGCCATCTTAGAGCCGGTGCTGGAGCTCCCTTAGACGGAGCAGAGGGGGAGGGGGGTGAGTGGGATGTGTGGGTTAGAAGATGATTTGTATGAGTAGCATCTCTATCCTTTGCATGTCTGTATTTGCTTGGATCTAATACACGGACCGCTTGAGAGAGAGAGAGAGAGAGAGAGAGAGAGAGAGAGAGAGAGAGAGAGAGAGAGAGAGAGAGAGAGAGAGAGAGAGAGAGAGATTTAAGGGAGTGAGCTGAGAGTGCCTGCGGCAGATGTTCCTGGTGTAAACCTTTTGCGGCAGATGCTCTACAGAATCCATGCTCGGCGTTGTGCCCCCATTCATTGAGGTGTGCAAAGGAACTGCTCATGTCCGACTCATGTAGGTAGGTAGGTAGGTAGGTAGGTGGGTGGTTGGCCAAGCCAGCAGCGGCTTGTCAGCTCACTCTCACGAGTCGAGCAGCCGGATCCTTTCCCCACGTGTTTGGCACACGTCGCATGCTAACCTCTGTCCTGTCCGAAAGGGGAATGAAACAGCTCATCCAGCCCAGCTCGTGCCCAGCCACATCAGGCAAGCCAGTTGTTCACGTGGATTGTTCACAGGTTGCCTCGGGTTGTCCCCCACCTCGACCAGCCTCTACTCCGTTCTGCTACGCCGTTTGCGCTGCTCTGCTCTGCTACGCCCTGTGCGCTGCTCTGCTCTGCTACGCCCTGTGCGCTGCTCTGCTCTGCTACGCCCTGTGCGCTGCTCTGCTCTGCTACGCCCTGTGCATGGCTGCCTGCCACAGCACGAGGAGTCAAGTGGACTACACATGCAAATGTAACAGGTGGAAGAGGGATATGAATCCTACAGGTGCGAGAGGCTGGCTTACAGGTATGAGAGGCGGACGGCCTTGGAAAGTTCAGATGGGATGGAGCTTGTAAGCTTGTTGTGTGAGAGGTCGCTGAGGGAGCATGAAGGGGGGAATGAGATGGAGGGAGGAGTGAGATTGAGGAACTATTAAGCGAGACAGACAGAGCGACGAGTGAGACAGAGGGATGGACGTGACGGATCGTGGCTCTTTTTGAATGATGGTGCCATGGTTCCTTTCATCTAGGAATGCGATGATCCTTTCATACCTCACGCATGCCCCACCATGCATGCCCCACCATGCACGGCCCACCATGCATGCCCCGTCATACGTGCCTCGCAGCACATATGAGAGAGCGATGCGCTCCTTACAGGTGGGAGAGGCTGGTCGCAGTGCCAATCTCAGGAGGGATTCCTGAGAGCTGGTTGTGCGAGAGGTCCCTGACGGTACAGGTAGTAGCAGGGGGAGGAGCGAAGTCATATTGGGGTCAACTTCACAAAGAGTTGCTTCCGAGAACTCTCAAACACTGAACCAACGCTGAGGGAAGTGCACTGAGAGATGCAAGGATGGTGATGCACTCTCCCCCCCCCTCTTTCTCCATACCCTCCCTCCCCCCCTCTCCCACACACACACCTAAACACATCCCATGGCTCTATTACTGTGTGGTGCTAAAGGTATCTGACCCTTTCCGCATAAGAGCAGGGCATTGCAATGGAGTGAAGGTATGTAAGGGAGGAAGGAAGCATGTGGCGGGGCGGGCATACAGGTCCTTGAGAGCCAGCAGCTGGCCTATGGTGCCTGGAATGGCCCCACTTATGCTGTTGTAGCTCACGTTCCTGTCATGCCCATCAACCACGCGTGATGGGCAGAGAGTGGGGTGGGGTCACAGCAGAGACGAGCAGAGTGGGATTACGACAGAGGCAGGGAGGGAGAGTGGTATCATGGCAGGGGCAAAACTATCTAAGGTGTCATACTCTTGCCTATTGCGCTGCTAATAGTCCTCAACTACCTAGTCAGACCATAAGAGCTGACGGTGCCATGCCATGCCATGGTGCAGATTCACCTTGTCATGCCTGCTCAACATGGCATACAGGTCCTAGAGGGCCTGCTGTCCTAGTCAGACCAGAATAGCTGAAGGTGCCATGCCATGCCATGCCATGCCATGGTGCAGATTCACCATGCCGTGCCCGCTCAACACGGCATGCCCACTCACCAACCAAGCCCATCCACATTCCCTTGTCATCCATCCATGAGCCCATAACTGGATTCGCTACTCCCATCGCACTCTCAGCATCTCCCTCACTTCACTCCCCAACCGATGCCCATCCACGTCACATGCGCCCATCCAAATCACATGCTTGACTTGCCACATACCACCTTCACTCACATCACAGCACCACATACCCTTGCCGAGGAGGCACAGTGGCTCTCACTACCTTTGGGTGTGTCTCGCATGGGAGCTAGCTCCCCTCATCACGTTCCATTTCCCCTAAGCCGGCGTCCCAACACTGCGCCAATGAAGGCTTACTTTCCGAAACGCGTTCGCACGCACATCCCTGCGATTTTTCCTCTTACCGATTGACCTATTAAGTCTTTCTTCAGGTCATTTTTTTCCTCTCCTTGTTAAATCTAGTTATATCCACTTTAGACATGAGCGACCTCAGTCGTCTTGCTGCGATCAAATCCGCCTTTGAAACAACAAGGACGCAAGCAGACCAGAGCGGACCAGCACACGCCATGGAAAGAGAGAGCAGCGCGATCCTTACAGGTGGGAGAGGCTGGTCGCATTGCCAATCTCAGTAGGGATGGATTCTGAGAGCTGGTTGTGCGAAAGGTCCCTGCGAAGGCACACGGGGCGGGAAGAACGCAACGCAGTGGCAAATACGAGTCATTGGGAATTCTCAAAAGCCGCACTGATGCAGAGGGTAGCACAGAGGAGGATGCATGCAAGGTGTGTGATGCGCTGTGCTGCGCCCACGGTGACAGACCGAGATGCACACACACGCACATGCACACGCACACGCACACGCACACGCACACGCACACAGTCAGATGCTGTCTCATGGCTCTCCTACCCTATGGTACTGCTGGAAAAGCAGAGCCTTTCCCAATACGACCAGAGCAATGGAACGGAAAGAGAGAGAGAGAAAATATAGAATGAGAGGAAGGGAAGGGAGGATGTGGCGGGGCGGGCATACAAACTGGTGAGGGCACGCAGTTGGCACATGCTGCCTGGAATAGAACTCCTTATGCTGTTGAAGCTCAGGTTCCTGTCATGCCCACCAACCACACGGAAGCAGGGTAGGATTAAGACATAGGCAGGAAGAGTGGTGCCACAGCAGAGGCAAGGAGAGGCTGGCGAGTAGATAGAAACACACTACCCGGAATGGTCAGATCTATCTATCCTGTTAGTGCTCAGGTTCCTAGGTTCCTCCTGCTATGCCATTTTTGAGACGCCTCAGAAGTCGTCTCCTGTTTTGAGGCACCTCAGAAACACACTACCCGGGATGCTCAGATCTATCTGTCCTGTTAGTGCTCATGTTCCTAGGTTCCTCCTGCTATGCCACCAGCACGAGGAGGAGTGCCAAAGGAGGGCAGCAGCAGGGGACACGAGGGGGAGGAATATCGCTTGTCTTTTGTCCTGCTGATTCTTCTCACATGCTAAATAAAGCAAGAACACAATCACATCTCTATATCAATTAGCTTGCCATTGCCCTGCAAAGAGCCCTTACCTGCTTAGTCAAACCAGAACAGCTGACGGTGCAAATTCACTTCACTCCCACACTTGCCCACACACATGCTTCACCATACCACCACCAACTTCAAAGCACCACCAGCTGAGGAGGCACAGCGGCTCTCATTCTCACTCCTTTTGGGTAGCTCCCCAGATGACAACTCTCCTGCTGCCTGCTCACGTTCTACTCTACCCCCTTGGTGACTTATGGGTTGTCTCAAAAGAGTCTTCTCACTATCTGTGGGTACGACTCACACGCCAACTCCCCTGCTCACCCAACAAGTTCCACATCCGCTGGCTGACTCAGGTGTTTCAACTCAAGAACGTGTTTGGTCATGGCCTTACAGGTGCGAGAGGCCAGCCACGTTGGAAACATCAGGAGGGATGGATCCTTCGAGTAGGTTGTTTGACAGGTCCCTGCGGGAGCGTGGGCGGGAGGGAGAGCAGTGGAGGAGAGAGGGGATGCGAGGTGGGTGAGTGGGTGAGACATACAGATTCACTAGCATAAGGCCATTCAATGTTGGTGGTGGTGCTGTGCTGATTGTATTTGCTTCGGTGTTGCAGCTGAGCTGAGCTGAGCTGAGCTGAGTGTTCCCAGTTTGTTTTTTCAGATTGCATTGCCTTGCACCTACCACCATTGCATTGTCCCCCGGATTTGGCCCTAATATTACCCGCGAAGGTGCGAAGGAGGCGCGCTTTCACACACAACCTATATGGCTTTTCCAGCACTTCAATAAAGAGTGAGATAAAACAAAGCACAAAAATTGGGTGCAAATTATTCAATGTATGAGTGCTGCATGAGCAGCAGACATACGGAAAGTGACTATGATGCTTGCATGACTGGAGAGGGAAGGAGGGGGAAGAAGGGGGGGAAGGGGGAAGTTAGGTCTATGTATGGGCCTTGCATGAGCAGCAGACATGGCTCCATACAGATCTTTAAGGCTGGTAAGCTGAACAATGCTGCTCGGGATAGACTCATTCATGTTGTTGGAACTCAGGTTCCTGCGATGCCACACACACACCCACCCACCCACCCACCCACACCCACACCCACGCCACCAGGCCACCCACATGGCCAGACCACGAACCCGAAGAGGGGAGAATATAGAGAATCAAGGGGCAGCCGCAGGTGAGAGGACGGGGACACAGAGCGGCTCAACAAGGGCTTGCCAGCAAAAGAAATGGTGACCGGTACAGCAGAGAACGGAAGTAGGATGCAATGAGATGAGATGAGATGAGATGAGATGACACGTGGCACAGAAAGAAAGTCTCGTATAGCTATACCGGTCTGAGGTGAGGAGCACACCGGGGTCACAGGAGTATAGAGGTGCATCAATGAGGGGAGATCTTATAGGAACAAGGGCAGACACAGACACGGGGGACAGGGAAGGTGGGGTCAGGTGAGCGGACCCAGGGAGGTGATCTCACAAGAAGGTGAGGAGTGACAACCTCCCGATGTCTGTTGGAATGGGGTGATTGAATTTGTTGTTTGCTAAGCCCCTGCAGCACACGCACACACACACACACACACACACACACACACACACAAACACACACACACACACACACCCCGCGCCCAATCCCCGCCCACCCGCGCACACACCCACCCTACCCTCTCCACACGAGTTACTTCCACCCACCCTCCCACCCATTCCCATCCGGTTCCACCCCAGAACACACACATGCATGCGCGTATAAGAGAAAAAGACAGAGTTCAACATGCATGTGACTGTGACTTGCAGGAAAGTCCGGCATGTGACATGGGGCAGGGCACAAGGGCCGTGCAGCTGGCAAGGGAATCTCACAAGAGCTGCAGGCTTGAGGGAAGGTTGGTGGCGTTGAACTGTGTCAAGCTGTTTGATGCCAAAATCCTGCCAACACGGTAAAGCGGGGAGAGGAAGCAGGGGGGATGATGGGGTTAACTTCAGAAGTCGTAGGGTTAGATTGGGATAGGTGAGGTAGCATGTGGATAGGTAACGGTATATTTTTCCGTGTCATATGAGGCTAGACGGGGATAGTTAGTTAGTTCAGGCTGGATGTTTCCACGTGAGGTGAGGAGAGGGCGGATGAGGTCCGATAGGGTTTGATGCGGTGAGATCAGAAAGAAAGGAAGTGGGAGTCCAGTCCAGGGAAGATGCACGAGGATGCAGCAGATTGTAGTAGGCATGGGATGGGATACACAGGAATGGAGGACAGGAGGAGACTTGATGAAGACGGAGATAGACAGACAGATAGACGAGGAGGCGCTGAGTGGGTGGGGATTGTAGAGACCATCGCCTAATTCTGGTTCAAGGGAACCAGAGAGAGCGATTCTTGGAGAGCGAGACAAGTTTGGAGGCGCCTCAACAAGCTTGGAGCGTGAGACCCGCGCACGCGGATTCAAAACAAAGGATGAGCGTCGCAGAGGATAGATTTTCGTGCGGCTGGAGAAGAGCAGCTGATGATGCGCGAGACACCATAGCACATGCGAGATGAACTGAGATGAAACCGAGATGAGATGAGACGAGAAGTGGGACAGCCCATCCTCACAGAGAGTGGAGGGAGCTCACAGAGTAGTAAGCGTGTCCAAGGCGCTCAGAGACTCCGGAATGGGTCCGCTCAGCCCCTGACCCATCATATCTCTGCACAACCAAAGCACGGCATGGCACGGCATGGATACAAACGGAGTGAAACGCGGTGAAGCAAGCAAGAGTGAACGTACAACGCACTTCAGAAGGGACAGGTGGACCGAGATGGGGAGCGTGTGGAGCGTGCGAATGTGCAGTGCAAAGGATACGTTTGAGCGTCTTGGAAACAAGAGCGGTGCATGGTGTGTGTGTGTGTGGAGAGAGGGGGGGGGGGGGGGGGGGGGGGGAAGGGAGGGGGAGCTGGGGACAGAGATGGGCTGCCGGAAACAGGAATCGGCCTTGTGAAGATCGTTCGTTTTGCAATGGGGGACAAAGGCAGGCAGGGTAGGGATTTTAGTTCGAAGCAGGAGAACGGCCGGGGAGAGAGAGAGAGAGACGAGAAGACGAGAAGACGAGAATACGAGAGGACGAGAAGACGCACATTCTGACGACATTGCCGGAGTCGCACAGGATACCGCTTGCGTTCCATTTCAGCTGGTTCAGCGCTTTAGCTGCAAAGAAAGCATGAGGGGAACATTTGAGGAGGGAGAGGTTGGGGAAAGAACGAAGGAAGCAGCGTTTCGAACGACGGCGGAACTATGGTGAAGGACACGGCGGGTCGGGAACGAGAAGGAGAAATGTCCAAAGAGGCAGGATAGATGATGCGGGAATGCTCCGATACTCTTGGAAAGCGACGACTAATGGGTTGCGCGAAAGCCCTTCGGAAGATGCTCAGGGAGACTTAAGACAAAACGTGTTTCTGAGTTAACAGACATTAGAGCTACCGGAGTTCGAGAACTGACTGACTTTGGTTAGAGTTCGTGCAAGACGTTGGGTAGTAGGCGGAGGGTTGGTCTTGCGCTGTCGCGTGGAGGAGCAAGATGCCTAAAACAGCAAACCACAGAACCAGAGCTGTCCTTCTCCACGCCATGGATTCTTTGCGAGACAGAGATGTCAACAAGAATCGCGTGTTATTGCAACCTGTGGAAGTGGTGGTGACCTAGAGTGTGACTGACGTTTGCAAGAGGCTCCCTTCGAAGTTTATGCTCAAGAAAATTGTAGGGCTGAGAGGGAGATATGAAAGGGTTGTTCAAAGCAGCATAGGTCTTGTGTGTGTCAGAATTTCTGTAGCTACGGACGCGGTACTCCGAGTGGCTTTGGTTCGTTGGTACGAACTCTATCCTGAAATCCCTGTCACGAACATGCGTATCAAGAAACAAATCATGGTACTGTAAACAACCCGAGGTCGAGTCCGAAACGCGATGAACACGCCTGGCGCAGGCGGTTTGACTGGTTTGACTGCTTTCCACTCTGGCTCGCTGTTGTCTCTAGCTTGGTCAGCCGAGAAGGCAATGCCTCGCTGTTCTTCACCTTCCCTGCTGGCCAGGTCATAGGGTGTCTGGGAAGAACATAAGGAACGCGGATGACAATTCATGATGTACACTACGAAGCATGAGTCATAGTAACTACTGGCCACATAAGAATTAAGAACCTCAGAAAAATACATCAATGCACACTTGGTATTTTATTGTCTTTACACTTGTGGCTGTTTAACCGGGGGGAGGGAAGCTGGTAACTCGCTTAGAAAAAAACCATTTAGGGGTGAGAATACATGTGCGACACAAGGAAAGCCATAATTTATCAAATCAGACAAAGGATATAGGCTGCACCTGCACGCCTCTTTTGTTGGTAAACAATCAACTCCCAGAGTGATTCACAGGCTGTGAATATCATTCACCAAGACGCTGCATTCGTAGCAAGAGCTATCGTGCAGTACCCAAACACCGTACATCAACGCAACCAATACGGTGTTAGAAATTCTATAAAGTTCCATAAGCACCAACCACTAACGTGGGCATCTACAACTCTGCTGTTGATCATCTTGGGTCCACGCCATCATCACCTTCCTGCTCTTCCTGCACATCCACCACCGCATGGTCCCTCTCCCCTCCCACCGGCACCACTCTGCACCGCTCCAACAGCACCTCCAACTCCCGCGCCACTTCGGCCATGGTGGGGCGCAGGTCCGGAGCAATGGCGGTGCAGCGCAGGGCAAGCAGCACGAGGTCCTGTGCTGTGTCCGTGGGGATGTGTAGAGACGCATCACACACCTCCATGAGTGCGTTACTGTCCACCTTTTGGGATGCCTGTGAAGGTGTGGGCGGGCACAGGGAGAGTACATATTTGAGGCGCCTAAAAAAATGACTTCTGTCACACAACTCCATGGTGGTGTTACGGTCCACCTTTTGGGCTGCCTGTGAGGGTGTGGGCAGGCGGTTGGAATGTGGAAGGTGGGGAGGGGGGGAGGGAATAGACAGATGTGGCGACGGGAGGGACAGATGCTTACTGGGGTAACCGCGAGCATAATTGCTGTTGTTTTTCTTAGTGGTGGTGGTTGTGCATCGGGACGGCACAAGCACAGGGCAACTACCATATATCGAAAACCGCACAGGTGGTATCCCGGTTGAGCCAGGCAGGGATCACTCAGAAGCATGCATGTATTGTGACAAGCATGACACTCACTGGCTGACACCACAACACAACACTCACCCACTGAGGGAGGGGTACAAGCCTGTCCCCATCCCGGAAGAAGCACTTGTGCCCTGACACCACCTCCAGTATCACCACCCCGAAACTGCAGCACGAGAACAAAGGGAACAGCAGCACAGGCAGCAGACGCATCATGACTGGCATGACACAGCAACCGCAGCAAGGGGAACACGAGATCCAACAAGGCGGACTGTGAAGGTACGAGAGCCAAACGCATGGATGCAAAGACAGCTGGTTGATCCGAGCACACCTGTACACATCAGCAGAGGGTGCAGCAGTGAGCGACTTGGCATAGGCAGGATCCAGGTAGCCCGGTGTGCCCACCGCCCTGTCCCTGTCTACCGTGCCCTCCTGGGCTGACTTGATGAACCCGTAGTCCACTATATGGGGCTGTTGGAAAGGTGTGGGAAAGGTGTGGGGAAGGTGTGGGGAAGGTGTGGGGAAGGTGTGGGGAGACATGAGGCGACTTCTGAGGCGTTGGAACGTTGGGATGGGGTTAGGTATATGGAGGGTGGGTGGAGCGAGTAGGGGAGTGTGGATGAGCGAGGCATGATAGTTGGCTGCATGTGGGTAGGAGTGAGCATGAGCAGAGGAACGAGGACTGGTGGAGTGTGGAGAAGGATGGGTAACAAGGGGAGGGTGCGCGCGATGGGCAGTGGTGGAGCATCAACTCATGCAAGTTAGCAATGCCAGGCGCCCCTTTCTCAACAAAAATAAAAAGATTAAGGTTGGTTGGAGCACGGGAGGATTAGGGTGACATGTGAGCGAGCGGGGAAGGGAGTGAGGGAGAGAAGAAAGGGGAGAGGGAGGGAGGGAGGGAGGGAGGGAGGGAGGGAGGGAGGGAGGGAGGGAGAGAGGGAGGGAGGGAGGGAGGGAGGGAGGGAGCAGGGGGGGAAGTGGGGCGGACCTGGAGGTGTTGGTCGAGGAGGACGTTGGAGGGCTTGACATCGCGGTGCACGATGCCACTCGCATGCAGACACTCCAGCCCCCTCGCCACCCCCGCCAGAATGCCCACCCTCTCGCCCAGACTCAGGGGCACGTGGCCCTCCTCACTGCTGCTGCTGCCTGCAGACCGAGAGAGAGAAAGAGGGAGTTATGGAGAGAAGGTGAGAGGTGGTGAAGGTGAGATGGGAGGAGGGAGTGGGCAAACAACCACGGCCACAGCAACCCATTTCATCCCAGCCCACCCAACCTGACCCATGTGATCCCATGTGATACTTAGGCATGCAGCATCAACTCAAGCCTGGCTGCCCTCCCACGTTCCCACCTGAGAGGAGGCGTTGCTCTCAAGTCCTTCAGCCCACCCAACCACCTGGCCTGACTCCTGAGGGGCGTTGCTCTCAAGGCCCATCCAGCTGCCCACCTGGGCGGAGGCGTTTCTCGAGGTCGCCGTGAGGGAAGAGGGGGTAGACGGTGACCTGCTCCATCTGCAGCGCGCTGGGCGTCATTTCCATGCAGAACCCCACCAGCCGCACCACGTTTGCGTGCCGCACCGCCCCCATGCGCTCCACCTGCCATGCCGTTCCATTCCATTCCATTTCATTCCATTCCGTGCCGTGCCGTGCCGTGCCGTGCCATAATAATCACAGAAGAGAGCAGCAAGTTTGGAGAGCGCAAGAGCAGGGGAGATTTGACTGATTACCAGAAAGAACCAGAACCAGAGAACTACCTGCTGCAACCATGCGGGCAAACAAACATCTGACCCCAGAAGTCCGTCTATCTCTCTGGCCCCACCGGTACACACACACGAGGTCAAGACGTTCTACCTCTGCACACACAAACACAAAGGGCTGTGGTGGGGAAAGGTGCGCGTGCGCCGACTAACGGAGCGTGTTGGTATATAGCACAGGAAAAAAAGACAGACAGAGGGCTGCATCGGCAGGCGTCCTTACCGATTGCCGGAACGTGTTGCTGAGCACGCGAGCGCGGCACACGGCCCACGGCACAGCAGGGTTGCTGGGGTCAAACCCGCGGTACACATCAAACGAGCCTCGTGTGACCATGCGGCCGCTTCTCGCCCAGTTATCTGTTGCCACCTTCACCTCCCCCATGGTCAGCTCTCGGACTGGCCTCTCTGGTGATGCGCGTGCTGCTGCCGCTGCTGATGCTGCTGCTGCTGCTCCCGCTGCTGCTGCTGCGGCGGCGCCTGCTGCAGAGGTTACTGGTGAGATTGCTGTTTGGGGGAGTGGGCGGGAGGGTGTGTGGGAAGAATTCGGAGAAGGGGGAGGTGAGGGGTGGTGCGGTGTGGGATTTGAGAGGGAATCGAGTAACGAGGGTGGTTGATGTGAGAAGATTGAGTGCGAAATGGAGGTGTGGGGAATGAAGTGTGGAGTGAAGGGATATTGTGTTGGGCAATCCGGGTGGATGGAAGTCTCTGTAAGAAGATGATAGGTCTCAAAGTGAGGTTGATAAAGCATCACTTGCTGCACATGCACATGCACATGCACAATCGCATGCCTCATGTAACGTACCATGAGACGCATTCTGCTTGGCTCCTCTCTTCTTGCTCCTGTGCACCAGCAGCAGCACCAGCAGCACCAGGGCCACCACCAAGCACGCGCACGCAGCAGCCAGCCCCACAATCGCACCCGTTGACAACCCACTGTTGCTGCCACCACTCCCACCACTGCTGCTGCTGCTGCTGCTGTTGCTCATGCCGCTGCTGCTATTATCCAATCCACCAGAGCCCGAGACAGGAGGACCAGGCGCGGGGGCACTGCCTGGAGGGAGGTTAGGGGGCGGGGGAGACGCAGTGGGAGGGGCGGATGGAGGAGCAGGAGGCTGTGGCAGGCCCGGGGAAGGGGAGGTTGGTTGCGGGCTGGGTTCTTGAGAGCCGGGTGCTTCATCACTTGCAGGCGCCGATGCCTCTGCGCTTGCAGGTGCGGGTGATTCATTACTTGCAGGCGCGGGTGACCCATCGCTTGCAGGCGCGGGTGACCCATCGCTTGCAGGCGCGGGTGACCCATCGCTTGCAGGCGCGGGTGGAGCACTGGGAGGTGATGAGCTGGGCGGGGCTGGCGATATGATGGAGGGGGCCGCGGCGGAGGGAGGGGATGATGAAGGAGGAGATGTGATGGGCGGGGGCGTGGAGGGGGGAGTAGGAGGAATAAGAGGAGGAATGGGCGATGGAGAAGGTTTGGGAGACGGGTAAAAGGGAATGGGTATATGGCCTGGAGGTGGGGGAGGGCATAAGGGGAGCAGATGGGAGGGGTTTGGGGGAGGGGGAGGGAACGGGGGTTGAGGTGAGGCAAGGAGAGATGAAGGGAGGTGAGGTGAGGTGATGTGAGGTGAGATGGGTTGAAAGTGAGGTGATACTGTGGTACATGCTCGTGAATGTGCTCATTCCGTGACGGCTGGGCAAAGAAAGGCGAGAGGGACACGGAAAGAAGTGGCTCAAGAGGTGTAGGAAGAATCGATGTGCTGGAGGGTGCGCATGTGTGGCGTGGCTGTGGAGCCCTGCCCCTCACAGTGCATGCAAGCAAGCAATGTGAGATGCGTGATGTGAGATGCGTGATGTGAGATGTGTGATGTGAGATGTGTGATGTGAGATGTGTGGTGTCAAATGTGAGGCGCGTGTTTGGAATGTGTCGTGTGCGGGAGCACGAGTGAGGGACGGACCAAAGGTGCAGGCACTACAAAACAAGAAGCACCGACTCAAGTCTTCCCAGCACTCCACCGAGCAACCGCTAAAGATCTCGGGGCAATCCATGTCCGCTGCCCTGCACACCATGCATGCACGCACACCATGCATGCAGCCAGGAGACACGGAGGAAAAGCTAGGTTACTAATGGTAGAGAGTGGGTCAGCCTGTGCAGTTTAGGACAGGGCGCAGGGTCAAGGAGCAGATGCTTGACTCCAGGTGTCACCATCGTTTAGGAGCAGATGCTTGCAGCAATTGTTCAGTGACACATTCAGGTTAAGGTTGGGGATGAGGGAGAACGAGAGCTTGAAAGATTGGAGGGGTTCAAAGGACTTCAACTGCAGCAAGCTGAGCGTTTTTAGAAGAGTTTTCAAGTAAGTGATTCCGCTTTTTGGGGGTATGAAAAACTTGACCTTTGAAGAATTCACAAACGCAATTCTGGCACAGTAAGGTGAGTGATGTGCTCCGTGGGGCAGACAGACAGGCAGGCAGGCGGGCGGGCGGGCGGGCGGGCGGGCGGGCGGGCGGGCGGGCGGGCGGGCGGGCAGGCAGGCAGCAGGCAGGCAGGCGGGTGGCTTACAGGTGGAGTTCGGTGAGGGATGTCATGCGAGAGATGCCTGGCACTGAGCCTGACAGCTGCGTCTCCGCTAGTCCTCTGCAAGCAGTGCAAGTGGGGTGGGAGGGGAGGATATGGGGGGAGAGAGGGAGGGAAAGAGGTGGGTACTGGGTCTGGGCTGGGGTGATGGAAAGGTGCGGTTTGATTTGGGATCAGACGGTGCTGCTTGCCCTGGTTATACAGGCAGTGAAAGAGATTGGAGTGAGGGGGTTAGGGGAATGAGGGGAATGAGGGGAGTGAGGGGAGTGAGGGGAGTGAGGGGAGAGTTTGGAGCAGAGTACATGGGAGAGCAGTGAGCACTGACAATTTGTTGAGGTTGGTGAGGGCGCTGAAGGCATCAGGTAGTTGCCCTGTGATGTCGTTGAATCCCAGCCTCCTGCACGGCATGGCATGAGATGGCATGGCATGGCATGTCATGGCATGGCATGGCATAGGATGGCATAAGGATAAGACAGCATGGCATGGCTATCATTCCAGCAAATGTCATCACGGGATGTGCATGATGAGGGTAGCACAGCAGGCACTCAGAGTGAACATGCTGCCAGCTGGTTGAACGATGGAGCATTACATCAAGTGCCGCATAAACATGCTCCAAAAATGTAGTGCACCCATGCATCCACCACTCCCCACATGCATCCACCACTCCCCACATGCATCCACCACTCCCCACATGCATCCACCACTCCCCACATGCATCCACCACTCCCCATATGCATCCACCAACCCCCTCCTCCCCCCCCCCCACCATGCAACCACCACTCCCCCCAGGCACACAGCGACTGACAGAGTGCGCAGGTTGGTGAGTGTGGCTAGCTCCGACGGCACGCCGCCAGTGAACTCGTTTCTGTCCAGCTGCCTGGCATGGCACCGCACCGTGTGATGGGCGGTGGGTGGAGGGAGGGGACGGGGATGCGAGAGAGGAGGGATAGGAGAGAGGAGATGTGCAAACTCGTGAGTGACTGCTCGAAAAGAGGCCCTAAGGTTCGTCAAAACACGGGCAACGGGCAGTGCGGTGCGCCTAGCTCCGACGGCACGACGCCAGTGAACTCGTTCCTGTCCAGCTGCCTGGCATGGCACCGCACCGTGTGATGGGCGGTGGGTGGAGGGCGAGGAGGGGAAGAAAGGACCATTCGAGGAAGGAGAGGAGAGAGAGGAGGGATAGGAGGGAAGGGATGTGGAGAGTAATTGGTGACCCCTTGGGCAATGGACAGTGCGACTAGGCCCGATTGCAGGCTGCCTTTGAACCCATTCTTGTCCAGCCGCCTGAGGAGAGGAGGGAGAGGAGAGAGAGGAGGGAGAGGAGGGAGAGGAGAGAGAGGAGGGAGAGGAGGGAGAGGAGGGAGAGGAGGGAGAGGAGAGAGAGGAGAGAGAGGAGGGAGAGGAGGGAGAGGAGGGAGAGGAGGGAGAGGAGAGAGAGGAGGGAGAGGAGAGAGAGGAGAGAGAGGAGGGAGAGGAGGGAGAGGAGAGAGAGGAGAGAGAGGAGGGAGAGGAGAGAGAGGAGAGAGAGGAGGGAGAGGAGGGAGAGGAGAGAGAGGAGAGAGAGGAGGGAGAGGAGGGAGAGGAGAGAGAGGAGAGAGAGGAGGGAGAGGAGGGAGAGGAGAGAGAGGAGAGAGAGGAGGGTGAGGAGAGAGAGGAGAGAGAGGAGGGAGAGGAGGGGGAGGAGAGAGAGGAGAGAGAGGAGGGAGAGGAGGGAGAGGAGAGAGAGGAGAGAGAGGAGGGAGAGGAGGGAGAGGAGGGAGAGGAGAGAGAGGAGGGAGAGGAGGGAGAGGAGAGAGAGGAGGGAGAGGAGAGAGAGGAGGGAGAGGAGGGAGAGGAGAGAGAGGAGAGAGAGGAGAGAGAGGAGGGAGAGGAGAGAGAGGAGGGAGAGGAGAGAGAGGAGGGAGAGGAGGGAGAGGAGAGAGAGGAGAGAGAGGAGGGAGAGGAGAGAGAGGAGGGAGAGGAGGGATAGGAGGGAGAGGAGAGAGAGGAGGGAGAGGAGAGAGAGGAGGGAGAGGAGGGATAGGAGGGAGAGGAGAGAGAGGAGGGAGAGGAGAGAGAGGAGGGAGAGGAGAGAGAGGAGGGAGAAGAAGTGCAACAGTAATGGGTGACGCTTTGGGCAACAGACAGTGGGCCAAAGGCACAATTGCAATACAATCATGGCTATAGGGAAGCCATAAGAGTTGCAGTGCGAACATCGTTGATCCATTCTTCCCACAATGTTTGACCGAGTACTGACGTATCGACGCTCACTTCACTTTGTGAGAAGAAAGAGGCGACAGGGCGGTTTCCGCATCGGCGATGTGAAAAAGAATCAAGGATTTCAGCACATTCGTGAATCATTGTGATGAGACGGGCGGGCCGGGCGGGGCACGGCAGGATAAGGCAGGGAAGGGCACGGCATGGAAGGGCAAGGCAGAGCAGGGAAGGGCATGGCAGGGCGTGGGCAGGGCAGGGCAGGGTATGGCAGGACAGGAGTAGGGCGCAGTTAGTTACAGAGCAGTGAGTGCCGTCAAGTTGGCGACCCATGCAGGAATGCTCCCTGTGAGAGAGTTGTTTCCCAGGCTCCTGCAACGGCACAGTGGGGCAGCGCGGTTCAAGGGGTGCGGTGTTGGGGAGGAGGGGGAAATGGACTCTTGAAGCACGTCAGAAATAGAGTTGCGTCCCAGAGTCCTGAAATAGCGCCATGCGGCAGGGCAGTGTTAGGGAGAAAGTGGGGAGTTGGGAACGTTGCGGCAGCCATTGGGACGTGTGTGAGAGGAGAAGGGCGGAGGGATGGATGGGTGATGAGGGCTAAAAGAGGAGCATCAGATCTTGATGGGAGAGGTGAAAGGGCGGGGGGGAGCGGAACAGCAAAAAAAAAAAAAAAAAAAACAGACGCAGTAGTACGGATCGCAAATGTACGAAGGAGAGGGAGAAGAAGAAGAACAGAAGTGGTCTCATTTGCGGTGTGGAAGAGTGAGTGTTGGGGCGGCTGGCACACGATAACGGGGACAAAGCAGGTAATGGTGGTGAGGCACGGTGGGAGGTGACAGGGCGAGGCGAGACGATGAGGAAGGGCAAGGCGAGGGGGAGCGAGGGTAGGGGAGGCAATGGCACTGACAGGTCCTGTAAGGTGGATAGAGTGCTCATGATGCTGGGTAGGGATCCATACAGCCGTGTGTTGCCCAGGTCTCTGAGGGGGGGTGTGGGGTGTAGTGGTAGAGGGGACGAGCAGAGTGGAGATGAGGGGAGTGGAGAGCGAAGGAGAGAGGAAGGGAATGGAGGAGGAACGGGAATTGAAGGTGGTGTTGGGTGGAGAGAAGGGGAGGGTGAGAAGGGTGGGAGGGGAAGAATGGCCGGTAAGAAAGTAGTAGTAGCATGCAGCAACTGTCTACACATGCACGGACATGCACGCACATGCACGGACATGCACGCACATGCACGCACACGCACATGAACGCACATGCACGGACAGATGCGTACAGAGACACAGAGGAAGGAAACTCGCAATGCAAGCACCAGGTGCTTTTTCCCACGTCTCCTTTTCCTCCACTCTCCTCAGCTCTACTTAACCCGCACAACACCATTCTCCTCCTCCATTCCTTGTCCCCCTCACATCCCCCCTCCGGTCATCCATGTGCCCTTCCTGTATTTCCCCGTCCGGTCACTCGCATCGTGCTACTCGTGCCGTGCGTGCGGCTGCAGTGCAGTCGTGCGACAGTGAGCACTCACAGCAGAGTGAGGCGTGAGAGGGCGCTGATGCTCTCGGGGATGGACGTCCTCAGAGGAATATCATGCCAGTTGCTGCCGTGGTTCCCCGGACCCAAGACAGGAGGGCGGGGAAGAGGGAGGGAGGGAGGGAGGGAGGGAGGGAGGGAGGGAGGGAGGGAGGGAGGGAGGGAGGGAGGGAGGGAGGGAGGGAGGGAGGGAGGGAGGGTGGGAGGGAGGGAGGGTGGGAGGGAGGGAGGGAGGGAGGGAGGGAGGGAGGGAGGGAGGGAGGGAGGGAGGGAGGGAGGGAGGGAGGGAGGGAGGGAGGGAGGGAGGGAGGGAGGGAGGGAGGGAGGGAGGGAGGGAGGGAGGGAGGGAGAGAGGGAGGGAGGGAGGAAGGAAGAAGAGGTAAAACGATGAGAGGGAGTAAGGAAGTAAAGAACGAATGGTAGAGGAGGAGCTGAAGGCAAGAAGGAGGTGGGTGCAAATGAGGAGACGGGATGTGGAGGGTGGTGCAGAGGCAGGGTAACGGCAGCAGAACGAAGTGAGACGAGCGAAGGAGGCGCGGGAAAAGGAGGCAGGAGGGAGGAGCGAAGATTGAAAAACGAAGAGGGATGAAGGACGAGGGACGAGGGACGAGGGACGAAGGACGAGGGACGAAGGGGGATGGAAGAGGGAAGAGCGGCACGAGAATGGCATCAGAGGGCTGTGGAGACCCCTAGGGCGGGCTGGACTGAGGGTACTGGGTGGGAAGGGAGGAAGAACTTCTTCACGCTTGAAGCGCGGGCGTACAGGGATGTGAGCATGCCGTCCTGGTCCCATGTTACTTCTGGCCCCAAGTCCGCCATATTCTGACTTATTAGCTCGTAAAGGACAGCATCTGGAAACACGCACAAGGGCGATGAGTAGGAAATAAGTGGATAATGGAAGTGAAAGTGAGCGTGGGAGTGAGGAAGAGAGAGCGTGTGTATGTGTGAGTGGGAGAGGTGAGCGGTGGTTGCTCGGGTGAGAGGTGGCTTGGATAGGACGGTGGAGTGCGGTGCGGTGCGAGGAAGTACTATTGTGGCCGTGAAGGGATTAATAACGGCGGGGTGAGATTGTAATATTCTCAAACGAATGATATGAAGCATCAGGCAGGGCAATAACGCAAGTGTTGCGCTGATGGGGAGACCTTGGGAAGGGTCCAAATAATCATTGTATTGTGCGCGGCCGCCGCACATCCCGCCGACAAGGACGGCGAGGAGAAGCGCGACGTGACTGGCGGACTGTAACGAAGCGCACGCTCGTCGTGCCATGGCCGATATTTGAGGCTGAATCGGCTGTTGCGGTCGGTAAAGTTGCGGCAACCAGAGGGTCCGGAGACTGAAAACGGGATAATGTTCGCGCCTTTTGGGCGCCTCAATAGCCAGGAAATCCAGTAGATTCGTATCAAGTAGCGGTAAAGATAGCTTTATCTTGCCGTATGGGAGAAGAGAAACGAAGTAAACTACCAAAGGTGGAAGCTTGAGCGGTTTCTCCGTGCGAAAATGCACAGCGTGGAAGAGGGAACAGTCACAGAGAGGGAGCTTGAGAGAACACTGTAAAGAGAGGCGACGAAGGGGAATGTGGAATTCGGCGGTGTGGTTTGCTGGTGCTGGTTTTGAGCGACGACGTTCGATGTGGAGTGGATGGGAGTTCGAACACGAGGGGTGACGAATCTCGTTGACACAAGATAGCACAGCAGGCATGACACAATTATTTGCGGGGAAGGGAAGGACGCGAGGGGGAAAGGAAGGGGTTCGGGGAAAGGGGAAGGGTTTGGGGGGAGTCAGGAGGGGGGAAGGTCGAGGGGGAGATGAGGCTTGCGTTGCGTGGCTGAGCTTGACAATCTGCGTGCGGGCAGGCAGGTCCGGCTGGGGGATGCGACGAAAGTCGTTCCGCTTCCCCCACTCCCTACGGCTTGCAGCAATTACAACCATCCGTCAAGAGGCGCAGAAACTACTGCATCGTGTGCGCGAACATCCCCTCCACGCGTACGAGTGTTGGGGGGCGGGTAATACACTCGGCACAGCGAGGTGGTGGTCATGCGGGAAATGGGGGAAATGCGACGCAAGCGGGACTTTGCCTCGCTAATCCCCACGTGGCGGGTTAGGGGAAGGGTTGACCCGGTTTGACTGGGGCTGGGGGTTGTATTTTTTCCTGCTCATTCGCCCCACGTTGCGGTGGATTCTGAAGGTTTGCCTTTGCCGAGCTAGGACGGGAAATAAGACAGGTGTTCTCGGATCCTCGTATAGAGAAAAAAGGAACATCTGCAAGAAAAATGGAGAATTGTTTAGCTAGCCAGAAACCATTTGATCATGCACTCCAATATTTCCCATGCTTCCTATCATGCCTTGTCATGCGCTACGTTGTTGGGACAGGGATGCACTACAACAAAATAATCGGGTCACTGAAGAATCATCACAAATAGAATGCTTCAAGTAACATCAAATTATCTCATCACTTCCTCCATCCACTACCAAGCGCCCTTGGCTTCGTTATGCTCATGGCATGGCTTTGAATAATCCCCTCGCCGCTCACCTCACCTGCTCCCCACCCACCCTCCCCACCACCACTCCGCCCCACACCCCCATCAAACCTCCTGGGACTCCTACCAGTGTACATACTCGCACTGCCAGTGCCACTCCCAGGACTAGCCCCCGTGCCTCCTCCTCCTAACCCTGCTAGCGTCCTTGCAGAGGGGCTATTGCCAGTAGCGCTACCACTACCGAGAAATCCAGCTGTAGGGCTGGCACCGCTCGTGCGCAGCCCAGCATGCACAGGTATAAGGGCAGCTGGAGAGTACGTGCCCGCAGCACCAGCACCAGCAGCGGCAGCGGCAGCAGCAGCACTGGACATACTGCCGGTTGCGCTACCAGGACTCCCGTATTTCCCAGGGCTTCCGTATTTCCCGGGACTGTTATATTTCCCTCCAGGGCTGCTGTATTTCCCTGGACTACCCCCCACAATGCCTCCCCCACCGTACCCCACTCCATCCGGGCTGCTGCTGCTGCTTGTGCCACTCACACCCCCCACTGGCACCATCCCTCCTGCTTTAAGCGCAGCTGATGCAATCATACCGGCAACATCGGGGGCAGAGGGACTGGTGGAGCTAAGGCCAACGCCCACACCAATATACTGCCGTGGGCTGGCTGATAGGGGCCCGCGCGAGGCAGAGGAGGAGGCGGAGCGGTAGGGGTGCGGCGCCGAAGTCGGAGTGTTGGAGGAGTGGTATTGGTGGTGGTAGTGGTGCTGCTGCTGCTGTTGTTGTTGTTGCTGCTGCAGGTGCTGCAGGTAGTGCGGGCTGTAGGTGTTGTGGGCGTGCGGGCTGGCGCGGGAGAAGGCGGCCGAGGGGGAGGAGGAGTGGGACGAGGAGTGCGGCACATGGGGTCCCACGTGCCACGTGGGGCTGTGGTCTCGCATGGAGCGCGAGGACAGCATGGTTGGCCGCCGTGCCACCCAGCCGTCTCGCTGTCGTGGTGGAGGGTGGGGCGGGGGAGAGTGGGAGGTGTGGTTATTGCTGGACTGAGCATAGTGATATGGAGGGGTAACTACATGAAATGGAACAAAATAACTCCTGTTCTTGCATCAGAAACACCTATGCACAGCCTAAAAGCATCCTTCGTTCCGAGTTCCAACCACTCATTCTCACCAGTGTGGGGTCCTCCTCTGTCTCTATCATGGCCACAACCTGCCGCACGCAAGCACGCTCTCTCATGCCCACCATCGCCAGCACCATGCACTCATCCCCACCCGACCCCACCCATCCCTGCACACCACTCACCCACCCCCACCGCACTAGACCACCCCGTCTCACCAGCGTGGGATCCTCTGTCTCCAGCATGGCCACGACCTGGCGCATGCGGGGGCGCTTGAGAGCGTTGCCGTCCACGCAGCGCAGCGCCACGCCCACCACGTACTCCACCTCGTCCGCCCCCGCCTGCCCCGCTATCCTCCCATCCACTGCCTCTGCCAGCCGGTTCTCTGCTGCCAGCCGCTTCACCCACCGCACTATGTCCACCTGCGTGGGTTGGGGGAAGTGGTAAGAGGAGTGGAAGGAGAGGGGAATGGGTAGAGCAGGAAGGGGCGTGGGTGGGGAGCAAGCAAGCAAGTGAGAAAACGAGCAAGCAAGGAAGGAAGGAAGGAAGGAAGGAAGGAAGGAAGGAAAGAAGGAAGGAAGGAAGGAAGGAAGGAAGGAAGGAAGGAAGGAAGGAAGGAAGGAAGGAAGGAAGGAAGGAAGGAAGCAAGCAAGCACAGAAGCAAGCATGCTGCGTCACCTGTTCAGGCGAGAGGTGTGTGTCGATGGGCTTGCGGCCTGCCACAAGCTCCAGCAGCAACACGCCAAAGCTGTAGACGTCACTGCGCTCCGTGAGCAGCCCCGTGTTGATATACTCTGGCGCCACGTACCTGGGGGTTGGGGGGGGGAGGGTGTGATGGGGGTGGGGCATTGGGCAAGCAGGAAAGGAAAGCAGAGTGTGAAGTGAACGCGGCGCATTGCTCCGTGAGCAGCCCCGTGTTGATGTACTCTGGCGCCACGTACCTGGGGGTTTGGGGTGGGGGAAGATGGTGAATGGGGGTGGGGCATTGGGCAAGCAGGAAAGGAAAAGGAAGCAGAGTGTGAAAGTGAATGGCAGGGGGATGTGGAGGGAGTTTGCTTTGCGGCGCATTGCTCCGTGTACTCTGGCGCCACATACCTGGGGGTGGGGTGGGGTGGGGGGGGGGGGGGGGGAGAGATGGTGAATGGGGAAGAGACGGTGGGGGTGGAGGGATGTTGAGATACCTAAACCATGGATCTCAATCCAGGGAAAGAGAGAGATTGTGGGAATCGTTGGAAAAGCTTTTGACTGCACGAAAGGGGTTTTGGCAACCAGTTGCAGTCTGTCTGTACTTCTCCCTGTTTCCTCTCCCCTCTCCCCCCCCCTCCCCTCTCCCCGCTGCCCACTCCCCTCTCCCCTCACCTGTCCCCTCTATTTCCTCCCTCGCCCCCTCACCCGACGGTGCCGAGGAGGCGGGAAGGCGCGTGGGAGTGGAGGCGGCCGGAGATGGCGGGGAGGGCGAAGTCAGCGAGCTTGGGGTTCCACTGCGCGTCCAGCAGCACGTTGGACGCCTTCACGTCCCGGTGCACCACGCGCACGTCTGCCCCCTCGTGCAGGTATGCTAGCCTGTGAGGGCAGAGGGCAGTGGGACGGGGGGAGGCAGCAGGGAGGGAGGGAGGGAGGGAGGGAGGGAGGGAGGGAGGGAGGGAGGGAGGGAGGGAGGAGGGAGGGAGGGAGGGAGGGAGGGAGGGAGGGATGGAGGGAGGGAGGGAGGGAGGGAGGGATGGAGGGAGGTGAGGGAGGGAGGGATGGAGGGAGGGGAGGGAGGGAGGGAGGGAGGGGAGGGAGGGAGGGATGGAGGGAGGGGAGGGAGGGAGGGAGGGAGGGAAGGGGTCGCAGGAAGGGGAGGGGGGTGTTGAGGCCATCACCAGATGGGAACGGATTGATGGGAGGGGATGGGTGGAAGGAATCGAACCTCAGGGGCCATGACTGGCAGGGCACTGCACTTGTTCATAACTGGATCGGATGGGATGAGATGGGATGGCGGCCGATTCAATTCATGAGTCACCGCATACCCGCATGCATGCGTGCATGTAATGTACAGCAGCAACAACAAGTTCAGACTTCTCACCCGCGGGCACATCCCAGGGCGATGTGAACGCGCAGCTTCCAATCCAGCGGCGCACACGCGGCGGATTCACCCGCACCACCACCACCATCAGCACCAGCACCACCAGCAGCTGCAGAACCAGGAGGACCAGCAGCAGCAGGGGCGTGGAGCCAGGAGTGCAGCGTGCCGTTAGGGACGAACTCGGAGACGAGCAGGCGCTCAGAGCCCTGGGCGCAGCACCCCAGCAGCGCCACTATGTTGGGATGCCGCGCCCTCGCCACTGCCTCCGCCTCGAACCGGAACTCCCGCTCTGACTGGTCCGGACTGGCCGGGGGGGAGGTGGAGGGGAGGGGTGGAGAAGGGGAGGGAGGAAGGGTGAGGGAGTGTTTTGAGACGCCTCAAACCGGAACTCCCGCTCTGACTGGTCCGGACTGGCCGGGGGGGAGGTGGAGGGGAGGGGTGGAGAAGGGGAGGGAGGAAGGGTGAGGGAGTGTTTTGAGACGCCTCAAACCGGAACTCCCGCTCTGACTGGTCCGGACTGGCCGGGGGGGAGGTGGAGGGGAGGGGTGGAGAAGGGGAGGGAGGAAGGGTGAGGGAGTGTTTTGAGACGCCTCAAACCGGAACTCCCGCTCTGACTGGTCCGGACTGGCCGGGGGGGAGGTGGAGGGGAGGGGTGGAGAAGGGGAGGGAGGAAGGGTGAGGGAGTGTTTTGAGACGCCTCAAACCGGAACTCCCGCTCTGACTGGTCCGGACTGGCCGGGGGGGAGGTGGAGGGGAGGGGTGGAGAAGGGGAGGGAGGAAGGGTGAGGGAGTGTTTTGAGACGCCTCAAACCGGAACTCCCGCTCTGACTGATCCGGACTGGCCGGGGAAAGAGGTGGGGGGGAGGGGGACAGGGTGAAGGTGGGGAGGCGTTTTGAGAGGTTGTAAGACTGGAGGATGGACCGTGGAGCACATGCAAGGAGGTACGGACGCTGACCTGACGCACAGACACAAGCACAGTTACACGCACGCACAACCGCACACCCGCACGCACGCACGCACAACGCAAACTTACTTGCAGTTGGTGAGTCGCTTGACAGCCACCGTAGTGCCGTCTGGCAGCCGTGCCTTGTACACCACGCCATGCCTCCCTGCGCCCAGCAGGTTCCTCTGCCCCTGACGCCCAAAGTCATTGGTGGCCAGAGCCAGCTCCGCCAACGAAAACACCTTCTCCGCCACTCCCCTGCCGCTCCCACCGCTCTCGCTCTCCTCACTGCTCGCCTCGTCTCCCTCCGTTTCCCCAGCCCCACCAACCGTCTCTCCTGCTGCTCCTCCTCCTCCTCTTGCTGCTCCTCCTCTGCCTCCTCCTCCCACCAGCGCTGTTGCTGCTTCTCCTGCTGTTTCTCTGCCTTCTCCTCCTCCCCCTCGCGCTCCTCCAGCGGCCCACGTCCTCCCACTGACTTCTGACACAGAGCGGCCCAGCTTCCCTCTCCTTCCCTCGATCACACTCCCGTCGCTCTCACTCCAAGCGCTGCTCTCATCCTCACCACTGCTCCACACCCCCCCTCCCACTCCTCCTTCACCTTTTCTCCCTCCTCCCTCCGCGCCGCTCTCACTATCCCCTTCAAGATCGGCGGCTCTTAAAGCCCGGCCCGCGCCGCCATACGTTGGCAGGCGGCTAGATGCTACAGCAACTGCTGCCGCTGCTGCCCCTGTTTCTCCCGTCCCTGCCTCCCCTGCACCTTCTTCAATCGATGCCCCTCGCAACCCAGCCGCTGCTGCTGTGCCAACTGCAGCAACGCCGGCAGCAGCAGCAGCAGCAGCAGCAGCAGCAGCAGCAGCAGCAGCAGCAGTGGCGGAATCAGGGAGTGCAGCAGGCGGGAGAAGCGAGGAGGGCGTGTGAGGAGAACCAGACTTGGGACTCCCAGAGAGATAGTAAGAGGGCGGGGTGTGTGGTTGCATCCCTACCCCTCCTGCTCCCCCTGCTGCTGTTGCTGCGGCCTGGGAGGCGAGGGGGGAGCGGTGGTGGGCGAGGGAGCGGAGGGAGGGCAGGGGGACGACAGGGGGGATGACGATGGGGGGGGATGGGGTGGCGGATGAGAGAAGAGGCGTGGGCTTGGGAGATGGGGTGTGGGAGGAGGAGGATGGGATGGAACGAGGCGACGTGCCTTGCAGTGCCGCAGAGGGAGCAGAGGGAGCTGAGGGAGAGGAGGGGAGAGCAGCAGAAGGATCAGCACGTGAAGGCACACCATACTTTGGTGATACGGCAGCAGCTGAAGCAGCAGCAGCTGCAGCAGTAGCGGTGGCAGATACAGGGGAAGATGTGGGGATGGGCGGAGGAGGGATGGGGGCGAGCAAGGGGGAAGAGGCAGTGAAGGGGATGGCAGGGGGCGGGAGAGGCGGCAGTAGCAACCCTCTCTCACTGTCCTTCTCCCCATCATAACCATGATCTGCAGCCTCCTCCTCCTCATCCCTCCCATCCGCCCTGCCCATTCCCATTCCCACTCCCATTCCCACTCCCACTCCCACTCCCACTCCCGCTCCCACTCCTATCCCCATTCCACTTTCTGCTTCATCCACTTTCTGGGACTCCCCGACGCCCTCAGTGAAGTCTTCTTCGTACTTCCTTCCACTTCCTTGCGACCACTTCCGCCCAACGTTCAAGCCACTGCCACCACTGCCACCACTGCCACCGTTGCCAGCATTACCGCTTCCGGCCTCATCACCACAACCACCTCCACCAACAACAGCCCCGCCGCTGCTGCTGCTCGCGGTGGCACTGGTGCCGCTGCTGCTGCTGCTGATGATGGCGCCGCTGCTTGCAGTGCTGCCCGTGGTTGGGGTGCTGCTGCTTGTAGCAGGAGTGCCTACAGCTGTAGCAGCAGCAGCAGCTGTAGTAGCAGCAGCAGCACCGGGTGTAGCAGCAGTAGCTGCGTCTTCTGCACTGGAAGCACGAGCCGTGGTGCTGGGAGATTCCTTACGGTCGTCACTAGCACCAGCAGCAGCGGCAACAACAACAGCAGAAGCAGCAGCAGCGCCAGCAACCAATCCAGCAGCAGTGGTAGCAGCAACAGCAGTAGCAGCAGCACCACCAGTAGCACCACCGGGAGCATCAGCCAAATTGCTACCAGCGCCACTACCAGCAACGCCACTACCAGCAGCAGCAGCAGCAGCAGCAGCAGCAGCAGTAGCAGCAGCGTCAGGAGCCCCACCTAAGCCAGCCCCCTCCATCCCTCGCCCTGACTTGCTTCCCTTCCCCTTCTCCCCCTCCCCTCCTCGCCTCCCACTTCCCGCCCCGTCCCGCTTCCCCTTCGTCCCCTGCTCCCCCCCTTCCCCCTCTGCAGCGGGTGCAGGGCGGCCCCTATCCCCCCCTCCCGGCTGAACAGCAGGGGAAGGCGGCGGAGGGGGGGCAGACGAAATTGCATGCTGAGGGGGGAGATACTTGATAAAAGAGCCTGTTATCGGTAACTCCCCCCTCTCCATCCTGCCCTCTTGCCCCTTCTCATCCGCGTCATTTCCCCCAGCCCTCCCAGCACCAGCACCTGCACCACCTACTGCTGCAACGGTGGCGGTGGCAGAGGCGGAAGAGGGGGCGGATGGGTGCTTGGGCTTGCGCAGGCAGAGGAAGGCGAAGAGGAGGAGGGCAACGGCTAGCACTGCCACCGCTGCTATGATCCCCACCACCACGCCCACGCTTATGCCACCACTCCCTCCGCTGTTGCCGCTGCTGCTGCTGCCAGTGGTGGTGGTGGTGGTGGTGGTTGTGTTAGGTGGTGGAATGGATGATGGTTCCGAAACAGCAGATGTGGAGGAGGTGGGAGGGGTGGAGGGGGAGGAGGGGGGTGCGGGGGATGAGGGGGATGAGGAGGGATCAGAAGGAGGGGGGGAAGAGAGAGAGGGCGACGGGGATGAGGGCGGGGTGGGAGTCAGGGGCGGGCTAGGCGGGGGTGAGGAAGGGGGAGAGGTTGGCGCGGGGGAAGGGGAGGAAGGCGGAGGGGAGTCGGGGGGGAGTGCGTTTGTGGGAGGGGGAGCGCTTGGGGGGGATTTTGGGGCAGGAGTGGAGGGGGAAGCCAGTGGCGGCGGGAGGGAAGGGGGAGCAGCAGAGGGCGCGGCAAGTGTCGGGGGGGCCGCGTCAGGTGGTGGTGTTAGTGCCACGCCGGGACATGGCTGTGGGGGAAGCAGAGGAGGGTGATGATACGAAGGGGAGCAAGGATGAGGATGATGGTGATGGGGGTTGGGAGTGGGGTGAGGGTAGAAGGACACAGACGAGCAGCACGAAGGGAGAGAGGGTGGTAGAAGGGATGGAAGGGCGATAAGAGGAATATTGGTATTACAGGAGGACGGAAAGAGTAAGGTAAACTAACAACCAGAGTCAAAACTCTCTCTCTCTCTCTCTTCCTCACCTCCCTCCCCCTCTCATTCCTCTCCCTTTTTCCCTCGTTCCCCTTCTCCCCCCTCTCTCCCTCCCTCTCCCATTCCCCACCACCACCCTTCCACGCACCTCCTTGCCGCACAGGGTGGGGTCGTTGGGTATGAGGTTGCAGGCGTCTTTTCAAATATCTCAAAAACCTCTCCCCATCACCACCACCACCACCACCACCACCACCACCACCACCACCACCACCACCACCACCACCACCACCACCACCACCACCACCACCACCACCACCACCACCACCACCACCACCACCACCACCACCACCACCACCACCACCACCACCACCACCACCACCACCACCACCACCCATTCAGCCACACCCACCCACCCACGCACCTCCTTGCCGCACAGGGTGGGGTCGTTGGCAGTGAGGTTAAACACGGCGCCAGGCGCGCTCGCCATGGCCGCCAGCCCGGGCGGCAGCGGCCCCACGAGCTGGTTGCCGTCCACGCGCAGCCACGTCAGCCGCGTCAGCGCTGACAGCGAGGACGGCAGTGCGCCGGCCAGAGTGTTGCTGCTCAGACCCAGCTGCTCCAGCTGGCGAGAGGCGGGCGGAAATAGTGGGGGGCAGGTGTGGAGAGGTTCAGGTAGGCAGGGAGGCGGCGATGGGGGAGAGAAAGAATAGGGGCCGGCCGGCCAAGCAGGGCGACGAGAAGAAGCATGTGGGAGCGGGCGAGAAGGGGGGAAAAAGTACAGAAGTTACGTTGGAGGATGGTGCATGGATAGCAAGTGTGGTACGCACGCACGCACGCACGCGCGAGCGCGCGCAACTTACGTTGGAGAGCGCGGTGATGGTGTAGGGCACGGCGTCCTGCAATTGGTTGCCGTCCAGCAGCAGCACGCGCAGCGCGCGCAACTTACGTTGGAGAGCGCGGTGATGGTGTAGGGCACGGCGTCCTGCAATTGGTTGCCGTCCAGCAGCAGCACGCGCAGCGCGCGCAACTTACGTTGGAGAGCGCGGTGATGGTGTAGGGCACGGCGTCCTGCAATTGGTTGCCGTCCAGCAGCAGCACGCGCAGCGCGCGCATGGGCGAAAGGTCCGGGATCTGCCCGCTTATGCCGTTGCCCGCCAGGTCCGCCACCTGCGGGGGTGGCGGGAGTGGGCGGGCGGGGACGCGCGGAGACAGGGGGGTGTATCAGTTGCGCTACAGGACAGCACCTTTTCCACGCGAACCGTCTCCCTCTCGTTTCAAAGCAGCCGTCCTCGCTTTCGCCTCTCCCAACCTGCACCCCTCCCCCACCCCCCCTCCGAGTTTCAGATACTCTTCCGCGAAGCCCGGCGCCGCGCCCAACCCGACCTGGAGGTTGCCGAGATCGGATTGGAGGCAGTACAGTACACTCGCGCGCGTTACCTCCCGCGCACCTGGAGCTTGCCGAGGTTGTTGATGGTGTTGGGGATGTCGCCCTGCAGGTAGTTCCGCGGCACCTCGATGCTCGTGACGTCGCTCATCTGCGCCATCTCCCCCGGCAGCTGCCCCGACAGCCCCATCTCCGGCAGCGATAGCCCCACCACCTTGCCCGACGCGGGGTCGCACACCATGCCCTGCCGGGGAACGCGCGGGGGGGTTGGGGGGAGAGGGGGGGGGGGGGGGGGGAAGGGGGGGAGGGGGAAAGGGAGGGCGGAGATGGGAAGGGCTGGAGCTTTGGGGACCGAGTGCGCTACGCCCTGGCTGGCGCGATTTAAACGCGTTGCACGGGGTGTGGGACTCCGGCTCATGCGGGGAGCCTTTTCTTGAACCGCCTGAACAAATCTGCTGAGGTGGAGTCAATCTTAAACGCGCCTAGAAAAAGCGACTACAAAACTCAGAGATGGAATGAGAGGGGAGGAAATATCTCTGGTACGTACGAGGAAGGGTGGCGCGTCGCAGGGCGAACGCGAGTTGGTCCAGGACCACAGGATGGTGCCCGGGGGGTCGAGCTCGCGCGCCATACTCTCCCAGTCCGCGCCATGGACCGACACCGGCGCGCGCAGGGTGGCGAGGCAGAAAAGAAGCGCGGACACGGCGGCTTGCAGCAAGCGACGATGGCGACAATGGCAACGATGGCGACGATGGCGACGATGGCGACGATGCTCGTTGTCGCAGGGAGCCTCTCGCCGCCGCTGCCACTCTTGTCCCGGTGGGTTCGCGTTGCCGCCGCCGATGCTGCAGCCGCAGCCGCCGCCGATGCTGCAGCCGCAGCCGCCGCTGATGCTATGTGCAGCCGTGGTCATCATTCCTCGATTGCACGGCACGGCGAGAGAAAGTGCTGATGCTAAGGCTGCGACATGCTACTAGCGTCTAGGGCGAAGGGCGCTTGCGCGAAGCAGCTCAGCCGACCCACAAACACTCGCGGGCGTCAGCAACTAGGGTTGAGCAGATTGGTGAGGGAGATATTCCGAACTTACGGCGCGACGTTGGAATAAACTCCATCTAGACCTCCATGGCCGCTGTATCTGCGTCTGCTTGCGTAAATTTGGTTTCAATTTCAACGTCGTGTGTTTTTTCTCTCTCCTCTCACGGCAGTTTTAGATTTTGCTTTTGATTCGATCGCCTCCACTCACTGGTTTGACTGACTCGTGCGCCATACGTATGTCCCACCATTGTTAGGCCATTACCCCGCCATTGCCCAATCTCCAAGAAACACAAATCACAGGTAGGTACCAAACCACCAAGCCTCATACCCAAACCGAAAACAGAACCAGAGTCCGCCGCCCGATCTGCGAACCTGGGCCCCGAACTCGCCCAACCAAACCATATCCAACCAAGCCAAAACCCGTATGGGACATCGAAGCGCATCGGCTCAAGGGCCTTGCGCCCCTAGGCCGACGCCGCTTTCCCAACAACACGCCCACCAGCATAGACACCAGAGTCGTCGCCAATCTTCGCTAGCGACGTGGCTGTAAATGTGCTTCCCTATAAATATCGCCCTCGAATAGGAGAAAGGTATAACACAGTTTTCGCAACACATGCCTGTAACCCACCGAGACGCTAGCGGCTCGTCCAACCAAGGGCGGCCCCATTGTGACGGCGGCCACGAAAGCTCCAAAAATCTTCGCTACAAACGCATCTCTGAAAAGGATAATACCACGACGCAAAACTAATCGAGACTATCGAGAATATACAAGACTGGACCTCCTCGAAACCTTCACAGTACCCCTCGTTAGTACAGCTCCGCCCACCTTCTTCCGCGTGCGATTCTTTCCCCCCTTCACCCATGCTCTCCCCCTTTTCCTTGCGCTCGCTCTCTCTGTCGTCCTCCACTCCAGTCCAGTTCCTAAACTGCGATTTATTTTCTGCAGTCTCGCCGGCGCATACTTGGTAAAACCTTGTCGTCGTTTCCTCAGGTCACGTCGCCGGCTCAATTCGTCGCTCCCCTCTTGCCTGGTCTCTGCTACCACCGTTGCGCATGCGCTCATTGCTAGAGATCTCTTTGCTGTCCTTACATCAATTTAGGTTGATCCGATTCTTCTCTACCGCCGCTGCCCGCGATCGCAATCAGCGGCGCCTGCAGGACTAATCATTTCGCCTTTTATTATCCAGCGGCAATCGCAGCAGACGCGGCAGCAAACGCCCCCGGGTATTCTTAACATCGGCGCGTTCAAATGGCGCAAGCCCCGCAGGAGCCGGGGGAGGGTGGCCGCTTGGGGCCAGGGTCGCAGGGGTTGCAAGGTCCGCAAGGTCCGCAAGCGCCGCATGGATCCTTCTCGCCGTACTCTGTACGTTCGACCACTTACGTTCGCGCCTCCTCCAGATTATGGTTACGCCTTAGGATCAGATTAGGTATCAGATCTGACAATCTACCTCGTCTTACTCTGTATCTTCGTTTCCCGCCTTCTGCCTTTCGATTCCGTCGCACCTCTTTCCTCGTCCATTCAGGCACTCCTCTCTTCCGAAATGCGTCCGGTCGGCGGGCGCGGGCGGAGTGGATCCTCGGGTCCTGCTACCGCCGATGGCGCAGGCCGTCGTGGTCGCGGGCGCGGAAGGGGTCGGGGGCGGGGTAGGGCAGCGTGGGGGGAAGCGCACAGACCCGCGTGGGCGGACACAGTAACCCCCGCGTGGGTAGATAATGCCACTAAATCTGTTCTTGCGTCCAGTACCGTCCGATCAGCCCCATCTCGTGCCACGCCACCTGCCCCGGGATCGGAAGCACCGCTCGATGCGTCGAATCGTGACGCTGATGGCTCGATCTCAGCCGCAGATCTAGACGGCGGCGGATCGGGGGGGAATCGCCCCTCCGCGGGGCCGGCACCACCGGGTAGCGGCCAAGTGACGCTCAACTTACGCGCCTTTAATCTTTTCGCAGCTAAGGTTCGACCTGCCGTGCAAAGGGAGAATCCACATTTGTCGGTGAGTGAGACCGAGCGCGCGATCGGCATGCGCTGGAATGCTCTGGCTCCCGCTGCGCGCCAGGAGTACCTAAACGCTGCCCGCGCGGGAGTGTCGGCGCTGGGCGCAAATCGCGCCGCAGCAGGGGCGGCGGCGGCGACGGCTGCTGCGGAGCAAGGGGGTGAGATGCTGGATGCGCATGCGCGGCATACGCGGCGGCGCCGCAAGCGCGCGGAGATCGAAGCGGAAATAGAAGCGGAGAACCTTATGAAGCAACAACAAATAGCCGCGCGGTACGGTATCGGCGCGGGGCTAGGCATGGGGCTAGGCGCAAGCAGAGCGCACAGTGATCCGTGGGGGGCCCGTGGGGGAACTGCCGCCGCTGATGCCTCCGCCATGTATCCCGGCGCAAGGGGCCAGGGTTTCGCGGGAGCAGGCGGTGTTGGGGGGGGACACGGGCGAGATTTAGAACGCAGTGGCAGTGGCACGAGCAGTAGCACAGCGGATGAGGGGGAGTTTGCACCCGGCATGAGTTTTGGCGGGTTATTGACTGGGGTGGAGGGGGCGGAGGGGCAATCAGGAGGGTCTGTGCGGTTGGGTCAGTCGGTGCGTGGGATGGTGGACGGAGTGTTTGAAGCCGGTTTCTTTGTGGCCTTGCGCGTGGAGGGGTGCAGTGCGGTGCTGCGAGGTGTTGTGTTCACGCCAACGCCTGCTGTGCCCGTTACGTCGTTGAATGATGTTGCAGCTGGTGTGCCGCATGTGGGGGTGACAACAGCAGCGGAGGAGGAAAGGAAACAGCTTCAGCGTACGCTGGTTGAAGGGCCGACTGAACCGTCCACACAGGAGGGAATGACAGCTGCGGTAACATCAGAAGGTGGGGCAGCATCAGAACCTCTGGCATCAGCAGCAGCAGCGGTGGCAGAAGTCGAAGCAGAGACAGAAGCAGCAGAAGCAGCAGCGGCAGACAATGCAGCAGCAGCAGCAGCAGCAGCAGCAGCAGCAGCAGCAGCCGCAGCAGCGGAGGCAGATGTTGAAACAGCGTCAGCGTTAGCAGGGCAGGCCATGGTGGTAGCGGGTGAAGCTGGACTGCCAGAACCGGAGAGAGAGGTTGCAGCCATGCACATGGTTCAGGGTATGGGCTCCGAAGTTAATATGATGCACCATGAGGCAGCAGCTCACCACACAGTTGATGTTCCAGCAGGTACACATGGTTATGTGGTTGCTTCTGCACTACATGAGTCAGGCAATGACAGAGGCTCAGCGGATTTAAACCATGCAGTCGTGGCTGACCATGGTATGCATTCCATGCATGATGGTTCTGGAGCATTGGAAGGCAGTGTACCATCGCAAGACATGGTCGGGTCAATGGCTGCAGCACAAGACATGTGGCATGCGAGTCATCACCACCACCACACTCAGACACTGGCACGGATGACAGCAGAGGGTGTTCCTACAGCAGCTGCTGTAGTCCATGCAGGAGCTTTTCATGTGGTTGATCACACAGGTTCCACCACTGCCCCGTCCCACTTCACCTTCGCTTCGCAACAATTGGATGATTTGCTAAATGCCAGCCAGAATAGTGCCTCGCATGTGCCGATGAACCTGCAACCAGGATCCTATTAGTTTTCTACCGATATGTTTTTCGTCACTAATTCGACTCGCCTAACATTGCTACGGTAGTTCCTCTGTTGGCAGTTTTACCACAAAAAAAAGGTGTTGCGGTTTTGGGAACATCGGCACCGTAATATGTTTAGCAGCAAACATGAGATCTTAAACCGGCATGTATCATTATGTTGACATCTTTGCATGACTCATTCTAAACCTGTACGCTGTGCAAACATAATTGCCCGCTTTCTATTAATACTGAACAAGCGTAGTCATAACCGTCATTTGCGGTACCTATGAGGCTCTAGAAAGTGAGATCCTTCGGATTCTCAATAATTTGAGCCAACGTTTGCAGGAAGGCTGCCAGATCAGCACCATAGATGATCCGATGATCAGCAGTGACATTCACCTGCAGGCAAGGGGTAGACAGAAACATCAGCATGGTGGACGGAACCAACCAAAGTGGAGCACAGTCGAAGCCCAGTGACACTAAAGAACAATGTATGTAATCATGCATCATGCTTTTCATAACCCCATGAGCGACTAACAGCCTGTATGGCAAACGGAACACACCTGCATCTGCCTCCGCACAGCAAACATGCCATTGGGCAGAGCAACCACCTTGGGGCGAGAAGCGCCAACAGCCATGATGGCACCCTGCAACGCAAATACACACCCAACCAGACCAGCAGAGATTGCACACGAGTTGACAGTCAGAAACTTGCACCAACAGGCTTGCAGAAGAGATAAGAGAGAATCTGGAACTGTTGCAATGTGTCTCTGGACATTGAAAACTGGAGGCAGTACCTGGCCAGGTGGCAGAATGGCATCGAAGCGATCCACACCGTACATTCCGAGGTTGGAAAGAGTGAAGGTGCCTGCATGGGAACGCATGGCAAGGGGACAGAAACAAAATAATCACATCCATTTTGCAGAAAACAATAAAAAGCATGCAGATAGGTCAAAGAGTCAAGGACTAGAAACATTCGTGCTGGTTGAAGCTTACCTGTTTGGTATTCTGCAGGGCTGAGTCTCTTTTCCCTGGCCTTCTGCACCAGCTCACGCCACTTTTGGGACAGCGTGTAGATGTCCATCTGCACTCGCCCAAGCACACACGCAGCACACCACATCACTATGCTGAGCATCCACTCATAAAGGCCCGGCCAGTGTGACTGCATTTTCCACCATGTTGACTGGGAAGAGAGCATACGCAACCAGGTGGTTGACACGTACTAATGCTAGCCAGCAAGTTAGAGAACCACTGCAAGAGCAGAGAGGGCCAGCAGCGGAAACGCACCTTATCCGTGTCCTGCAGTACGGGAGTGATGAGCCCGCCGTCCATGGCGACGGCCACGCACACGTTGATGCTGGGCGCGAACACGAAGCTGCCTCCGTCCCGGCAGCTGGCGTTCACCGTGGGGTGCTGAGCCAGAGCCATGGCCACTGCCTTGGCCAGCAGCGCGGTCATCGTGACGCCCTTGCCCTTGATCTGATCGGATTTGCATGAGATGCCGAATATTAGGATGAAATGGGAGGAAGGAGACGCGATTAAGAAGGAAAGCGGAGCAGCGCGACATGCGGCTATCAAGCAGGGACACGGGTAACAAAAGGGGGGGGGGTCGGGACTCGGGAGGGAAGTGTGGGAAAGGAAGGAATGGGTTGTAAAGCAGGATGAGTCAGCTGACCTGCTTGTAGAGCGCGTCGAGGGCGTCCGTGGTGATGGTGTAGCCCACGCGGAACGTGGGCACGGCGAGGCTCGCCTCCATGTTGCGAGCCACTGCAGCCTGCATGCCACTGAACGCCACCGTGCTCCCAGGCACCACCGCGGGCCCAGCTGGTGCAGGTGCCGGCGGAGCAGCAGCAGCAGGAGCGGTAGGAGCAGCAGCAACAACCGGGGCAGCTACCACTGCGGGTGCTGCGGCAGCAGCTTCCACATCAGAGGCAACAATGCGACCCAGCGGCCCTGATCCGACAACCGTTGCCAGGTTCACCTGCCAACGGTAAGAATAGAAGACATGTAAATCCACGAGCCCACTCCAAGGGCATGATAGCCCCAGTTTTAGCTACCATGTTCCACGTGCAAAAGCAAATGCGTGTTATGTATTTGTTTTTTCTTCTTTTTTCTTGTTCGTTTTTTTTTTTTACATGAGCGGCGCACCTTGAGCTCCTTTGCCAGCTTCTTCGCATAGGGAGTGGCCACAATGCGACCGCCCGCTGCCGCTGGGTGCGTCGACACCACCGCAGCAGCAGGAGCAGGTGCCGCCCGGGCGGCAGGGGCGGGAGGGGGAGGAGCGGCAGATTCGACAGGAGCAGGGGCAGCAGGAGCAGCAGCGGCAGGAGCAGAGGAAGAACCCCCCTTGATCTTCGCTGCTGCAGCCTTGGCGGCGTCGAGCTCGTCCTCGGATTCAGCCAGCACCGCGATGGCTGAGCCCACAGGAGCCATCTGGAGGGACGAAAAGGGCGACAATGACAGTTTTTACCCATTTTCCTTGCTGCTGTGGTTTTATAGGTGACTATAAGCGACATGCGCTGCATAACGTTTGGGCGGCCGGAATGGAGGGGACGATTGAGCTGGCTGCACGACATGACTTCACATGTATGGAGACTGTAGGATGCCGGAAAGCAAAGCTCAGAAGGCAAAACGAGAGAGTGAATGACGAAGGCAAACCGAGAGAGGGACAAGTTGCCTCAGAGGTAGTGACAATCATGGTGTCAGCACATGGCTTCAAGCCAATCAGGTGATATAAGAAAATGAACATCACTGGCAGCATTAGAACAAAACCGAGGAGAGGATAGGATGGAGCACAAAAGGACGATAGGAATGCAAGGTAGAGGGAGCGAAGGAAGGGCAGAGAGGAAGAGAGAGAGAGAGAAAAAAAAGAGAGCGCGGTAATCGTTGTAGAAAGCACCCGACACTCACCTACTGAAGTTAGCAGCTATACAATGCCATCAGAGGTAGTGACAATGTGAGTGTAATCACCAGTTGACATCGAAGCCATCTGATATACGGCACGTTATACATCATTGGCATCGTACGTGTTTCCAGCCTTGCCTACCCATGCGCCAAACTGGCGAAACAGAGCTACTGACTCAACAAAATAGCAGCACTCGCTGGACCTAAAAAACGGTACGCAATGACAGGAATACCGTGGTGTCCACTTCCATTTTAATACGAGAAAATACGGCTTATACAAAGCCGGGCAGCCGACGTGCAATGGAGCATACCTCACCCTCGTCGACAAGGATAGCGGCGAGGATCCCATCGTAGAAGGTCTCGACGTCCATGTCCGCCTTATCCGACTCCACCACCACAACGCTCTCGCCCTTCGACAGCTGATCGCCTTCGCTGCAATAAGTAACAAGGACCAGGACCAGGATCAGGACCAGGACCACCAATGGCAGCCAAGCAATCCACACACATCGAACGGAGATCAGCTTCGCAAAGGTGGATGGAAACGAGTCGAAAAGCACTGGAGCATGTTGGAGGACCGTGGAATGAAACTGATAACGTTTCGATACCTCTTCGACCAGGCAACGATCTTGCCCTCCGTCATGGTCGAGCTCAGCGCCGGCATGAAAATCTCCCGCACTTTCGCACACGGCGACACTACACGGCGGGGCGTGCTGGCCGCTTTTCTGGCGGCCATAAGGCCATGGCTCCGTGAGGGTGCTGCACCACAGCAGACAGGGCGCACAGGAACGAACGCGGGAGAGATGGTTCACTTAAAACGCTACAACCAAACGGCCGGCATGGACTAATCGCGGAGAATTACAAGGCCATGCAGCAGGCACTATTCATCGCAGACTACGGTCACTATGCTGATAGCCACTAAGCGGACTACTGCCACCACCAACAAGGTCGATAAATAAGGCCAACCAGCAGGCACTAAGGATTCACCAGGCAGGAAAGAGGTCGTCAGCTCGATCTTAGAAGCAGACGACACCTGCTGTCCGCGGCACGGTGCCAGAGAGGCAGAGCAGGCCTTAACGGCAGTGCAAGCCTCCATTTTCGCGTTTGCCCTGATCTGAAATGACTAATTCCAGTTAGTAGGAATTTACTGGCACCTCAGACCAGGATTGAATGCTCGGATGCGAAGTGGAAGACTGGTTGCTCACTGCCAGGAACAGCTGAAATGTGAGTCAAATGTCGCTCAGGGATGAGGGTGAAATGTTTCAGTGAAATGTGCAAGGTGAGGAGGCACTGGAATCCCACAGTTCAGTGATCTGCCTGACCAGTCACATTCGATGACATGCCAATGCCACTCTAGGCTCTTGTTTGGACTCTTGGAGGTTGATCACAGCATCAGATCGATGTGGTGGTAGACCACCCACAGAGCGGTTATCCCAAGGGCGTCGACGAACAGATCAGCAAGATTGTGACCAGCCAATCAATTTTGGCATGATGACATCTTGAACCGAATGTGAGTGGTGGAAATGGCTCGCATGCCCTGGCAACAAGTCATCGCAGGTCAGCGCGGACTCCCAGGCGCCAAACATCAATTGAGCTTGCACACTTTAGCTGGTGACATGGACATGTCACGTGGCAGCCTCACCTTATCCCCAGTCACTTCTTGGGTGCCTTTTCTGACGTGAAAGGTGTCAAATGGACCGTACCAGCCGCGTTCCGATGAAATGACACGATTGGTACTTTATCGAAATGACTCGTCTATTGGCACTTTCAGACTACCGAACAACACAACCTCCAAATTAAAAGGACGGCACAGAAACAGGGACCTCAGCACACCAAAAAAAAACCTCTTTTAGCTACAATAATACAGACAGCCTTACCAGGCGCACCTGAGCTCAATATTCCGACTCTGCCTTCACCTCCACGCCAAACAGCCAAACGATGCTGTTCGTGGTCTGCGTTTAGTGTCTTATTTATAGCTAGAATCTTCTGGGCCCACTCAGCCTGCAAGTGGAAAGGCAGCTTGCAGCTTGCAAGGCATAACATACAGTACTTACCAGATGAACCTTTAAATTTGCCTCAGAGCAGAGGAGGTTTCCTCTGTGAGAGG